AAGCTTAAGAGGGATCTTGAATCGCTCCTTGCCCTTTTCTAGCTTATGAATGAGAGCGCCACCAAGGAACTGAACCATAACAAGAGTGTATAGCGCAACGCCGATGCCGTGGTGAGGGTTGGTCAGGGATCTCTCAAGGCCAACTGCTTGGAAGCTGCAGACGATGGCAGCAGTCGAGAGTAGGACTGCTGCTACCTGCAACCAGATGTGGACTCGCAAGGCGGTTCGTGGGTTGCGATGGTAGAAGCGAGCCATGAAGATAGCTGCGGGTATTACGAATAGGAAAGCAATGACTGCTAATACGCCGTGGGCTATGATGAGAGCCTTGTAGCTGGCCATGCTGCGGAAGCGATTGCCCATGCCTGAGTAGTCAGTCTCTGTAGTCTTTTTCAACAATGAACATTCTTACCGTTCAATCGCATCGTCTCAAAGTTGGGGGCTTGCAAGTTGGGCAGCAGAAAAGTGTTGCGCTGCGAATCCCATGTGCCATCTCCCACATGCATCGTGGCCGAGTCGTAGACGCTCGACCCGGGGTCCGAGAGTTGGTTCGACATTATTGCAATAATGTTCGGTTTCGCGCTCAATGGCCAATTCCTTCAGAACAGTCGTAAGGTAGGTGCGTAAGTCGTTAAACACACCAGGCTGACGGACGAGGTAACGACAGAAAACCGGATTCTCGCTAACAACGCAGGCAAGCAAGAATACGTGGAAACAGAGAGTCGTAACGTCGTGACAGGCGTAAGAATAGCGAAAGTAGGCCGGGACGAGGTGGTATAGTCGTGTAGTCGTGTAGAGCGTGTCCGGTTGGACAGCTCGCGGTGGTGGGGGAACGTCAGCTCCTGGCGCCGTGCAATGGACGTCGTTGGGAAGAAGCGGTTTCCGTGACTGCAGGGAGCGAAAGTCTTGTCTACGGTGCTGCAGCTGCAGATGTCACGAAAGGATGGAATCGGTAGCCAGCTCAATTAGCTCGTCGAGGGCTCCACCAGCCGCATGTTTATGGGTGGAATGGCCTGGCAACGTAATCGATAGGTTGAAGGGCGGTGAGTGGCTGGGGCCGGCCAACCACAGCCCACCGCATCCCTGCACCCAGCCGCCCAGATTCTGAGACGACTCGAATTTCTGGTTTCCGAGGCCGATTGATTAGCTCGGCACGCTGCTCTTGGGCGCGCATGCGCTGGCAGTGAGGCGAACCGTCGCTAGGCTTCAAGCACCGTGTTCGCAGGTGCATTGCCACGAATTAGAACACGGATTAACACGAGTCGATTGCGCAGAGAAAAAGTCGTTTCAAGCAGTGGTATCTCGAGTCCAAACGCCGTAACAAGCCCAACACGCTCACCGCAAGGACGTCATCCCTCAACATCCAACATGTCCCTTAGCGCCTTTTCAGACGCTCGGAGCCATCTGCCTCTCTCTTCTAGTTCATCTCCGATTCCACCGCCCTCTTCCTTCCGTCTCCGGGCCTCTCTAGCTGCCGCCACGGTTCCCTGTTTCTGCGTCTCCAGCGGCCTCAGCTCGCGCTCCAGCTTCTCCAAGTCTCTGGTTCGGTTCGGGATGGTAGCCTGCAGACTTGCGATCTGCGCATTCAGGGCTGCGAGCTCCGCCTCCCGTTCGCTGAGCACTCGCTGAGTTTCTGGAAGTGGGAGACACAGCTCAGGGTTCGTCGAGACTGGTGTTTGCTCGTGCTTCAGCTGCTCAATGGTAGCTTCCAGGCCAGCAATCTCAGCCGGAAGTGACTCGAGCTGTTGCGTGCGTAGTTGGAGACCCTCGTAGCGCAGTGCGAGCTCTTTTCCCTTGTCCTCCAGCTGCTTCAGGATCTCGGCTACCTCCAACTTGCGCTCCTTGAGCTCTGCCTTGAGACCCAGTATCTCCTTTTCCTTCTCGTCGTTCTCGTGAGCGTCGACCAGGCGGGGCGGGTTCTCCGTTATGCTGCGCAGGAACTTCTCCTTAGTGACCTGCTCGACGTAGCTGAAGCGTAGCTTGCTGAAGAGTTCCTGCAACAATGTTAGGCCTGTAGCTCTCTCATGACATTTCGAAGACGCGTACTTTGTAATGTAGTAAGTCGGCCTCGAGGGCAGCCGGATGAGTGTCGCCATTCTGCTCGCTGTCCTCCGACGCCGCCGAGTTGCGCTTCTTCGCGGCCTGTGGGAGATCCTTGGGCGATAGCGTTTCCGCAATAGCCAGGAGCTTGAGTGACTTTGACTGCTGCAACTGTTCCAACACTGCGGCTGGTGTTGGCGCTGCCGATTTCCGCTTGGGTCCCATTTTGTCTGTCGTATGTGAATTGGAGGATTGAATGTTTGTTTGGGATCGCGAACGCCCGCGTAGGGCTGAGTTCCCCGCGGCGACTACCGCATGCAGCTAGCACGGCCCGCCGCGTGGAATGATTTCACATGGCCGCCCGGGATCTCTCAAGGTCAGACTTCTGCGACCCTTCTTCTCCACCCCAACAACAGTCGCCCACCATGGCGAAGGACTTGAACGACGACGCGTACATTGCAGAGCTGCTAAAAGAGGATGCAAAGAATGCGACCAAGAAATACGAGCTCGTTGGCATCGATGCCTTCAACCCGAGGTGCGTCATGAGCCTCCGTACACGCTGTGCAGTCGCATGAGCGTTGAAAGTACATGAGCACTCCATTATGAGACTGCTCGTGCTAACATACCATAGGATGAAGTCTCGCGCGCCTAGACCGAACAAGGGCTTCCTGCAACACCTCATCCGACAGACTGACAGCCACAACTCTGCGCTCCTTGCCAAAGAGGCCGCCGAGTCTCGCGCCCGACTGAGAATGATGGATCGGGAAAAAAGACAGGCGGCAGGACAAGGGGACGCATTCGCGCCAAGCCGACGCGATGTCGAAAGCGCAGGCAACCAGGGACGGTTGGCGCCATCAGGAAGCGACGTCGACCGATGCGAAGCAGAGTCAAGCAGACGACAAGATCGCAGCAAGGATGAGGATAGGCATACGAGGAAGCGCAGAGAATTAGCCGCAGCGCTTTCAAACCCGATATCTCGCCGGCATCGAGACCGAAGCAGAGATGGACACAGACACAAGAGGAGACACGATAGTGAAGACGAAGACCACTCGAAGCGGAAACGGAGACGATCAAAGTCGCCCCGAGACAACTCGCGTAAAGACAAATACGGCAAAGAGCAAGAACGCTACAAGCCCCGGGGAAGAGACCACAAGGACCGCGAGCACGCACGGCGCATGTCGCACTGCCGAACATCTTCACGGTCACGATCACGATCACGATCACCTCATTCCTCAAAGCACAGAAAACACAGCCGACACCGAGACCGGACTCGCTCCCTCAGCCCAAAACGCAAATCCACCACCTCCAAACCACCCAAACCCAGCCGCCACACCACCAAACGCACGCCCTCCCCAGCATCCTCCTCCTCCGACCCCCTCGAAGCCATCGTCGGCCCCCTCCCTCCCCCGGGCTTACCACCCGTCCGCTCCAAAGGCCGCAACGCGTACAAACCGCAAAACGGCGGCATCGAATCACGCTTCTCCTCCACCTACGATCCCACCACAGACGTGCGCCCAGCCTCCGACGCAGAAGACGACTGGGGCGACGCACTAGAAGCACTGCGTGACAGAGCGCGCTGGCAGCAACAAGGCGCCGATCGCCTCAAGCAAGCCGGGTTTACGGATGATCAGGTGAGGAAGTGGGAGAGGGGGGATGTGCAGGGGGAGGAGGATGTGGTGTGGAGGAAGAAGGGGGAGGGGCGGGAGTGGGATAGGGGGAAGGTTGTTGATGAGGAGGGGGATGTGGAGGTTAGGGCTGATTTTGGGAGGTTGAAGTGATGATGAGATTGAATTTGGTTTGTGGGGAGAAGATAATCGGTATTCTGGGATGAGGTACATTGTCTTTCACATTCCTGTTCCCTTCTCCTACTCCAATCATTACTACTATTACACGTCCCATCCCCATCCACTCCTCCTCCCCCTCCAACTCTACTCATCCCACTCACTCCCAATGCCTACCCACCAACCCCATCTTCCTCCCATCCACTCCCTCCTCATAGCTCGCACTATCCGAGTCTGTATCCGGAAAGCTCAAATCACTCCTCAGAGTCTCAACATCCGCCTTGTCGCCTACGACTGTTGTGTCGTCGTCGCCGAAGGAGTAGCGTGGGTTGCGGGGAGGGAGACGTGTGGGACGGGAGCTTGATGCATTGTTGTTGTAGTTGGTGGTGTGAGTGTTGAGGTCGCGTTGGGGTATTGGAATGGGGATTTTGGGAGGTGGCGGTGGCGGTGCTGGTGGGCGTCCAGCGTACGTATCCGGATAACGATGATGAATGCCCTGGGGTGAGCGTGGGAGAACATCCAATTCCACTGGATAAGGCGGGTATGCTGGTGTAGTGTTGTGCGACGTATCTGGCATGCGAGCCGGTGTATTGGCAAGTTCAACCACCCTCCTCCTCTCTACCCCCTGCCCCGCCCCAACCCGTCCAACCTCCTCATTCGAGCTCGAGAACCCAGACCACAACCTCGGTATCTCATTATTCCCATTCCTTCCCAGAACAGCATCCAAGGGCCCACTGATAATAAGCTGCTTCTCTGCCTGCTCCTCCTCCAGCGTTCCGTTTGTGCCGTCTAGGAAATTTCCTTGTGTAGGGGTCCTGATGAGGAAGGTTATTATGAAGACGAGGGCGAGGGAACCGAGGAGTGCGCTGATGGCGAGGGATACGGGTTCGATGTCGGGTTTGTTTGGGGTGTGGGGGGAGGGGAGGAGGGAGGGAGGGGGTAAGAGATAGAGAGTGGGTAGGGGGGTGGGTGGTGTGGAGGACATGGTGGAGATTGTGATATCGTGATATCGTTAATGTTATACGGTGGGAGAAGGGAAGGGAGTCTGTCTGCGGTGTTGGTGGTGATGCGATATCAGGATATAGGAGTATGGACTTGGCGATTGATTGTTGCAAACGCCCGTTATCTGCACTTCACGTCTGCAGCTCTGGCACGGTGGTGTCTGTGAATCTCCACTGGCAATCAGAAAAACGGGGATGAAGATACGCTGGAGAGTAGATCGTCCCAGTCGGCTAAATCGAGCTGTATCGCGTCGTTGATTTGCGAGGAAGAGTGGTGCTCTTGCGAGGCATTCAAGGGGGAATCGTGGAACGTCTCCAGCGCAATTTCCTTATCCACACATTTTGGACTTCCTTCTATCATGCTCCCAGCACCACGATGCTTCTCCACGATCTGCATGAGAGACTCGTATAATTTAGCTGCTGCGAGTGAATCTTCTCTCGCATCTGCTATCATCTGCAGTCCTTTCGCCAAATCATTCTCTTGTTGTAGCTCAGCCCGCAGTTCGCCAGATCTGTTGAGGCAAGCGTCCATGAGTAACGCAATAGTGGCAATGAAGATACTATACAGACCGGCTGGAGGACGTTGGGGGCGGTGCGCGAAAGGGTGACGTGACTGTAAAAGTTTTGTTTCGAGGTAGATGAGTTGGCGGGCTGAATGTAGACAGGCGGTGCGGGAAGAAGGGCTTGTTGAGATGGTCATAGATGCGGATGGTCGGGTGAGGGAGGTGAGGTGCAGTTTACAGCGCTGAGTGTGGATGAGCGTGTTGAGAAAGTAGGCTTGGATGAAGGTGTGGTTTGGCTTTTCGGAGGAAAAGGTACTGTCGTAGTAGTCTAGCAGGAAGAAAGCGGGTGTTTCGTGCATCATGTCCACGAGTTGTCTGTCCATTGCCATGAGATGAACGTCGTGTTTGAACGGATCCGACGTGATTTGATCGACGAAGTTGCGTGAGATCTCTGCTAGCCGGATGCGCTGGAGGAAGTATGACATGTCTGTGTACTGGGAGAGTGGCAGAGATGGTTGGGGCCCAACAGCAAGTAGATCTACGTCATTGATGTTTAGGGGCTTGTTTACGTTCATGTGAAGGGGACTGGACTGGTATACGCCTTCGCTGGGACCGCCGTATCTTGCTGCAAGAAGCCTGTGAAAATCTGTCAATCTACTTTATACCATCAGTATATCAACTCTTCTCAATTCAACGTACCAGTCTGTAGCAGTCAGATACCACCAAACACGACGGCCAACTTCTGCTTTGAGCGTCCCTGCCGCATCGACATTAGATACATGATCGATCTGATGAAGACCCATTTCCCGACCCAGCAACAAGCCAGTCGATATCAAGGAGCGGTATCGTAGAGAGACACCTTCTATATTACACAAGACGTATGATAGGATGATGGTGCCTTGTATAGCCTCCAAAGCCAGCGACGGTCCCTCTTGTAAAGTCTCAAGTACAGTATATGTTGCCTTGACCCAAATAGATGTCTGAGAGCGCGCTTGGGTCGAGGAGATAAATAAGGGACGTTCTCTGTTCAGTCCGTCCGGCATACTCCATACATGCGTTGTGTGAGCGATGATGCTTAGGAATAGAACGATGTTGTTGGGATTGGTGGGCTCACAACTTTCGATCGAACGGTAGATCTCGTTGAGGGTAGCTGGCAGAGAGGGATAGTGTGTTACGTGTTGAATGTAGTTGAGCTCAGTGATGTAGATGTCGAGGAGTGTCATAGCTTCTTCCCTTAGTGGTAGCCATATACATGGCGTTAGTCGGCCAAGTTGCGTTGTGTAGCTCAGTGTTGATGGTATCGTGCGGATCTGACCGATCTTAAAGGTGATGTGGTTTGTGGCAGGCAGTTCGAAAGAGCTCTGACTCATGGAGACACCTTCGAGGTGTTCTACCATGTCTCTCGTTTCCTGGATCTCGGAAGTCCGGTACCTCTCGATTTCGTCTGGACCGGTTCTAGAAACGAAGGCCGTTCGGACACTGTCGCTGGTGTCATTGCCCGCCTGCGGACGAAAGGTAGTCTCTCGTATGATACGTTCTTCGAGCTCCTGCACACGAGACTGGAGCGCATCTATCTCAGCCTGCATATCAGGTTTTCCGGTTGAAGAGAAAGGTGTCTGGATGCTCTCATATGGCTGTTGCTGTGTGAGCGAAGCCTCGATCGAGACGGGCGTCTGAGGGCCTTGAACTTCGCGTGCCGCCGGAGTAGGATCAAATTGACATGTCTTTCCTCGTGACCTGCAACTTGTGCATGGTAGCGGTCGATCACAGCGAATCTTGCGCGACCGACAGAAGTTACAGGAGTATTGTCCTTTGCGGTTGGAACGCTCTCGCTCACCGGAAGCTGGCATGACGGTTCTTCAAATCCTGGTCGACAATCGCAATGAGAGCACAATGGCAAGAACTCAAGAAACATATTCTCTAGAATGGGGAGGAAGATGGTTGGTCACATGAGGTATGTCTGCAGATGAGTGCCAAGCATACCGCGGGTATTCCGCGGAATACCCGTCGACGGAAAAGCGATGCTGACAGCATATCTCTAACTGGGGTCATAAGCCACATGGTTACAGAGTCGATTGCACGCACGAAGGATTCAGGAGGAAGTAAATCTGAAACGAATTGATCCTACAGACGGCAAGGATTTCATAGGAGCGCACTTTCCAGTGCTCTGGAAGGGTGGCGCTTTAGGATTTACATCGTACGGGCCTGCTATCCTTCGCTCTGAGACATGAAGGAGCCGATCTGGAGCTGCAAGGGATACCGGTAGCAGGTGCGACGCTGTTGAAATTCATGTGGTGATAGGACAGATGCAGATAGATGGATTTACAGGTGCGATGCGAAGGTGGGCAAGCAATGGCAATGGCAATGGCAATAGACCAGACGCCGGTATTCGCACCAGTCATGCTCGCCAAGACACAGCTACCATCTGACTCGCCATCAAAATAATTCCACCCTCCACATCCACCACATCTTCCCCTCCACCAACACACCAATGTAACCGATGTCATTCATCCCCCGCCATGCCTTCCCGCAAATCCCATCGCTGCCCCGGTCCTACTTCCTGGGCCACCACAAAGCGGGCCTGGCAAAGATGAAATCGCTCCTCACCTCCATCGACCTAGTAATCGAATGCCGCGACTACCGTGTCCCACTCACCTCGCGCAACCCTCTATTCGAAGATGCGCTGGAAGGAAAAGAACGAGTCATTGTGTACACGAAGAGGGATCTGGGTGGAGGATCGCGCGATAACCGGAATGAGGATGTCATTGCGAAGTGGCATCACCCTACTACGACAATGTTTGTGCGGAATGGGAAAGAAGCCGAGGGCGAGATCAGCGGACGGAAGAGCGTGATCAAGCTCCTGGATATCCTGCGCGAACATGCGCAGAAGAGGTGGAAGCTTGTCGGCCACCGCGTCATGGTAGTCGGCATGCCCAATGTGGGTAAATCCACGCTCCTCAACGCCCTTCGCGCACAAGGAATCGGTCGAGGGAAAGTCGCAGCCACGGGCGCGCAACCGGGTGTAACGCGCAAAGTGAGCAGCAGCGGCGTGAAGATCATACCGAGCGAAGACGACATGGAAGCAGCGGAGGCGGCGGCAAAGAAGAAGCTTCAGGGCGTGGGCGGAGGTGTATATCTGCTTGACACACCCGGTGTCTTCATCCCATACGTCCCCGACGCAGAAGCCATGATGAAACTAGCGCTCTGCGGCTCCGTCAAGGATACCATCATCGCGCCTGTTATGCTCGCGGATTACCTCCTCTACCACCTGAACCTCCAGTCGCCGTCGCTATACTCCGAATACGCGTCGCCTACCAACGACATCATCGAGCTCCTTACTGAGATCGCGAAGAAGACTGGTAGACTGGGTAAGGGTGGGGTCATAGATACAGAAGCGACGTCGTTGTGGATGATTCAGAAGTGGAGGCAAGGCAATATGGGACGCTTTCTGTTGGACGAGGTGGATGAGAAGAGTTTGGTGCAGGCGAAGATTGATGAGGAGGGGCTTACGCCTAGTTTCAACCAGGCGAGGAAGGCGGAGCGGGAACGCAGGAGAGAGAGGAATAAGGCGAGGGGGGAGAAGTAGGATGGTGAGGAGGAGTGTTGGGGGCGTGTGGCACAGTTCGCGCAAAGCGTCTAGTACAGATGTTTAATGCGACCACGGCCTCATCGAACCACGGCTCCGAAGGGATGTCCGCCATACTCATGCTCTGCAATTGTTCTCTACAGCATCCAGGACAAAAGACGCTATAGTTGGCCTATAAGTTCGACCAAAGCCCTCTTTTAAAACGCAATAACCCTAGCGAAGTCACCAATTCCTCCTTGATATCTTCGTTTCCCATCCTTCATTCAGATCTGGGCGTAATATTCCATCTTCTTACACGACTCCATCCACACACCTCCCTCCCCACATGCCTTACCCCGCTCCAAGTCCACGAAAAACCAGAACACGCAAAACAAACACATCAATCCGCTCAAACAGCCCCCACCGGACCCCCCACATCAGTCCTACCAAGCATCCTATTATACGGCGGCGGCTCATCATGATACGGCGGCGGTTCCTCCGTATGAACAGCCATCTCATACAACCTCGGCGCAGCATCCAACTCGTGATACGCCAGCGGCCCCGGTCCAGCAGCCTCCAACAACTCCGCACTTTCAATCGATGGTGCAGCCTGCCACTCCGTAACCACCTGCACAGGCTGCGTACACGCGATACCAGACCATTCTCTATCCGCACATCTCCCTGTGATTTCGATCTGGAGTTCGTATTCTAGGTTTAGGCCGTAGCTTGTGAAGCTCGGCGCGATGGTGTTGTTGTTGTAGTCTTTTGCAAGTTCGATGTTCGCCACGTCGAGCAGGTTGAGGCCGTCGTAGAGGGGTTCGCCGTCACCGGTTTCGTATTTGTGGTCGCAGAGGACGATGGTGCGGCGGTCGGTGTGGTTGGTTACTCTGCTGGGGTGTTTGAAGAAAGCTTCGTTGGGGAGGAAGACGTTGATCTTTGCGTTTAACTGCACTTTTAAACGCCGGATGAAGAGATCAGGTGGTGAGGGCAGTGATTCCGAGCGTTTGGTGTGTTGCACTGTTACGATGGCTGGGAGGGGGGAACCGATAACCAGGATGTTACCGGGAGTGGCGAAGACGTTGAATTGGGCGTAAGGAATTTCTGCAAAGGACTCGATGCCGAAGAGGAGTTCTTTGTCGGCAAGTTTGTCTTTGAAGCGGCCGAGTTTGCTGGAGTTCTCGCCGTAGTTGGGGAGGAGTTTGCGTGTTCGGATTAGCTTCGCTGCGCTGCAGTGTTTGGGTAGTTTGGTGCCGAAGTTTAGGTCGGGTTGCAGGAGCGAGCGGTCGTAGGGGGGCGCTGGTGGCATGTAGGTGATTTCTTGTCGGACCCGCACTGGTGGTGTGCCGGGTAGATCGGACTCCATGTACGCTTCTAGGTGGTATACGACCCGTGGACTTGTGGGTGTGGGACCGTTAAGCGTAGGTGGTAAAGGGAATCCTGGAGAATGCTGGAATCGGGGGTGGTTCCATTGGTCTCCTGGGTGAAGCCATACTCTACCTAAACGTAGGTGCACAAAGTCAGTACATGTCTCACATGCAGTTTGTACAGCGATATTTCTTACCAGCGGGAGGCGGTATCGTAGCATGGTTTCCGAATGTGAAGGAGAAAGGCAGCTCAACTCTGGCGGGATCTCTTGCATTGTTGGCGCGGAGGTGGAATTCATCGGCTGCGATTTCGTGTATGTAGAGGAATTGCGAAAGTCCATAGAACTCAAGGTGCACGCTTCTTCCATGGGCATCTTCAACGGCAGAGAAGCCTTTTAGACTTATGCTTATGCGTTTAGGTTGTGATGTGGGCACCACGGTTAGCTGGCCTTGTACGCAGTCCCCGCTTGTGTAGGTCGGTGGCGGATTGAGCACTTCGATGTAGACGGGATTGTCTCTGCGATTAGCTCGGCTGCCGGTCGCAGCAATTGTTAATACCATGATCAGCTGATGGATGATGGAAGACTGTAAGACAAGGATAGGAGAGTAATTGTGGTTATGGAAAACAATGACATTGTGTAAGGCTGCCCACGGGGTCAAGTATCGACGGCGATGTCGCTTCGGTGCCGCCCCTGTTCCTCGGGACCTGCCATACCAAGCCCTAGGGTGTCACGAGTTAGAGCCGAAGTTCCATCTTGGTATTCAAGCCCGGGTTTGATTGTCCTGGACGCCCTATGGGCCTAAAGACCCGCGTATCAACACCGGTGGCCCAGCCGCGTTGCTTCGATGAGTGATATTTACGAGATCTCCATTAAATCTCCGACCATCAGGCCTGCCGTAGTGTTGCAGGTGTGTTGCGCGATGACGAGGCGCTTTGTGGTGATGCTCATTGGTGGTGTTGGCGGCGCCGGGGTCGTGCCGTCATCGATGGAGGGCGCGACTCGCGACTTCTGGACTTTTTGACCCTCTAGCAGCCCACGCCCGTCCCAACCAACACGGCCAGCCATGTCGTCCAGCTACACCTGCACAGCCTGCTCCAAGGCCCTATTGAGGTCCTCGACGTCGCTGCTCCAGGTACACAGCCACAACCCCCTCCCCAAAGCGGATAATTGACTCTCGTAGCGAACGAATCGAGCGTCTCTGCGCCAAGCACGTCGAACAATCTCCACCACCTCGCCCACCGCCTACCATGCCTCGCAATCGCTGTCAGCAGATGTCAGGCCCGAAGCGATCAAGAAGCCGCATCCCGCTGTTGCGTCGGGCGTGACTGGCCTCGCCCAGAAGCTGCGCGAAAAGGCACCGCTGATGACCGAGACGTACGTCGCATATGGCGCAACACGAGACCTCATCAAAGAATGCACGAAGCCGGGTGAGTACAAGATACCCCAGGCGCTGCTAAAGCGGGGCGAGATACCGGTCGACGAGAACGGTGTGCATCTGGGCGAGGCCGAAGGGTGGTGGTATGACAGTAAGTACTCACAATGAATCCTACCCAGGCCTTTCGCTAACACTTCTTGCACAGCCCTCGGACTCAAGCCAACCTTTTCGAATTGGGCCCAAATCACCTTCATCCACATGTACATGCTACAAGTCCGCTTCCGCATGTTCCCCCAGTCACACGCACCGGTATGGATCCAGCACCTCACCAACCAGGCCTTCTACGCAGCCGAGGACAGACTGGTCATATGGCACAAGTTCAACGCCAATTCGCTGCGTCAGAAGCATCTCAAAGATATGTTCTCGCAGTGGCGGGCGGTGCTGCTGTCGTACGACGAGGGGCTGATGAAGGGCGACGCTATGCTTGCGGCGGCTATCTGGCGTAATCTGCTCGGCGCAAAGGAAGGTGTTGACTTTGAGAAGCTGGCGCAGATTGTGGGGTATATGAGGAGAGAGCTCAAGAGGTTGGATAGTGCTACGGATGATCAGGTGGCGGATGGGACGTGGACGTTCCGTGGTAGCCCCGGAGATGAGGCGCCTGTTGTTAAGGCGCCGAGTAGGATGATGGCGGCTGAGACTTCGAAGGCATGAGGAAGGAACGGCATAAATGGAATGTATGAGAAGAACCATGTATCAACAATGTGTATATATCTTATGAGAGATGCGATATGGAAATAAGCCTGTTTACGTTCTTTCAGGTTTCACTCATGCCCCTGCATACTCAAGGTTAACGCCTTCTGTAGCTCTTCCTCGTCCTCATCCACCCCAGCCGAAGCCCGCCCTTTGCCTTTACTCTGATGATGCTCCTCCAGAAGACTTTGCTTCTTGACATACTCCATCACAATTTCCTCCTCCGTCTTTTCCTCCATCGTCTTTTCTCCTCGGTGCTGCGCCTGGAATACATCTTGCGTAGTGCCTCCAAGATGACCGGGGTCATACGAGGGCGGCCTTTGGGCGCCTAGTAACCCGTTGCTCATGGAGGCTGCCATTTGCTCCGATGTTCCTGCTCGCTCCCTATCGAGATCTTCCCATTCATTGTCTTCGTTCATCTGACACTGTTCCTGGCGACTTTGCGCCATGGCTTGCTTCAGCTGCTTTTCGTATTCCAGGGCTTCTCTTAAGTGTTGCTGCGCTTCGACTTCGCTGGAAGCCATCGCCTGGAGTAGTTCCCCACTGGAGTCCGCTTCAGCGTCTGCGCGTAGTTCGTTTTGTACTGGCTGATCGATGGACCCGCCAGTCTCCGCCGCTCCGAGCGGTACTTCGGGCTCGGTATCCATAGTATACGAATTGTACTCCGATGTGAGTGTGGCACTTTCAAGATCTTGGATAGAAGCATCCGCAGACCGGACTGAATCCGCAGTAGACTCATCACCCACCTTCCCCTTCCGCTGCGCATCCAACACATCCTTCATCATCTCCCCAAGCCCATCTTTCCTCTTCAAATACTTCTGAATCAACCCCCACCTCTCAACAACATCCTCCCTCTCCTCCTCTCCACTCAGCACCCACTCCTGATACCCCTGCGCCGTCCTACTCGTAACAATATACGTCTGCACACTACTCCCAAACCTCTTCTGCACCTCCTTATGCACTCCCTTCATCATATGACTCGGTATCCCGAACAGCGCCGCCCCGGGCTTAGCTATGAAACCCCCAATACCTTTACCTATTCCCTTGAAGAACCCACTAGCGCCTTCTTTCTGAGCACCCTTCCAGGGCTGTGTAAAGAGGCCGGTGACGCCGTCGTACCAGCCGAAACCGAATTCGCGACCTATAGCTACCATGCCGGATTTTAGGTCGGAGACTTTCTCTTGGGGGCGCACGGTGGTGTCGTTCCAGAGCTTGGGCGCGTTGTGGAAGCCTTTTGTTATGCCGACGGAGAGTTCCATGGGGGATTGGACACCGGCTTTTACGATGCGGCCGAAGCCTCTGCTTGTGCGTAGGCCAGTGGGGCGTAGCATGTCGTTGTCTTTGCTCGAGCTGGATGCTACGCTGGGAGTCCGAGATGCCGGAGTGGGGAGATTGGGGGTGGTCTGAGAGCGGGCAAGCGGTTTCCGCTCCATTGCACTGGGATGGGAGTGTTGGGGTGAGCCTGATGAAGCGGAGCTCTCTCCTACTAGCGACGACTCGCTCCTCTTTGCTGCGTTCCGTACTGAAGTGTCAGACTGCTGTCTACTAGGTCCAAAGGGAGCCTGTACAGCCTTCGCCGTTTCTGAAGGCATTTCAGCTATTCCCATACTCATGCTGCCCAACGTTCTCAGTATCCCCATACCGAATCCAGAGATAGGCTCTAGGGGACCCTCATCAGTCTCATATTCTTGCGCCCTGAAGAGTTTGAGGTCATGAAAGTCCAAAAGACCGGCATTCGCCAACGTGCAGGCGGCAAAAGCGCTCAGTCTGATTTGAGTGCGCTTGATGCGCCATACAGCTACTCGAGACGGTGCAAGATTGCAACGGAGTCGGTCGGGATCGATATACTGATGGAATGACTGAGCGCCCATATCGCTGCCGCGCTCCGCAGCGATCTTGCTTGCAAGATCCTTGGCACGTTCGAGACTTTCGGGCTTTAAGCAGAAGTTGATAGCATCTGCTAATTTGTCCGATGTGAGTTGCCGGTAGGGAATTGGTTCGGGACCGGCACCAGCTCGTGCGATCATTGCGCCCCAGAAGGGTTGATCACCGAAAAACGGGATGACTAACGTTGATCGGCCTGGAGTAGGGTTATCAAGTCAGCCTTTGGCTTTTTGAACTTCTGCAGGCGAAGGACTTACCTGCTGCGATGCCTGCCGCTGTAGTACCTGCACCGCCATGATGAACTACACATTCGACGTGCTTGAAAAGCCAGTCATGCGGCACATTCCCTAACATGAAGACGTTCTCCGGGACGCGAAGTTCGTCTGCGCCCATACCTCCCCAGCCCTTGGAAAGCAGTACACGTCTTCCGCCTGCAATCTTTTTCGTGGCCTCGAAGATGAGTTCCGTCATGGCGTTCGGATCGTCCAAAACGATACTCCCAAACCCAATGTACACCGGCGGTGGTCCATCGTCAAGGAACTTTTGCAGCTCAGGCGTAGGGGTGTAATTAGAGGCCAGATTCAAGAAGTAGAAACCAGAGATGGATATGTGAGAGCCCCAGTCCTTTGGTTTCGGAATAAGAGCTGGAGACCAGCAGTATGTGTGAGGAACTTTGAGGCGCTGGAGCATTCCTGGGGCCCACATCATACTCACGGGCTCTAGGCCGAGGCACTTAGCGCGAAACCGGTTGATGATGTCGCCCAAGCCTTGCCATGAGAGGGCTTCAATCATAGCGTAACTGATGTAGTTGGTGAGTTGAGTATCGGCGTTCGAAGACTGGATGTTCGCCAAAGGATGAGGGAAGGCCTGGGTGGGTGAGTATGGCATGGTGAACATGATGTGAAGGGGTATTCCCAGCTTCTCTGCGCAATGAATATGCGCAAAACTCGGTGGGTTGGCAATGATACAATCCGCGACGAATGGAAAAGAATCAGCACCGTTTGCGGAGCGATCTGAACTGTGGTTGTCGGGCATCCCATCACCAGTTTCATAGCACGATCGCCAGCAGCCTTGAATGTATTCCGCAACATCTCTTCTCCGGCGACCGACATCCCCGCTGGCCAGACTGCGGAAACCTGGCATCAATCCAGGATTCTTGACCATGAAAGCCATCAGCTGAGAAGGGTCGCCGCCAATGCTGAAAAACTCCAAGCCGTTCTCTTGCACAAACTTCTTGAAAGTAGGATGAGTTGCCAGACGGACACGATGGCCATAGGTCTCTTTCAAGACTTTTCCGAGAGCAACAAAGGGTTGCACGTCTCCGCGCGAGCCGACGACCTGGATAACCACATTTAGAGCTGGGGGTGGAACTCCTTCTTTACCTCCTAATGAAGGTGGTATGTATACAGGAGGAGGTGGGCTGCTATCTTGAACGCTTTGGACGTGCTCACGCAAAGCTGGGGTAAAGACTTGGGATAAACGTCGGTTGAGCTGGTTGATGCGGATGTTGACACGGCCGTCTTCGGTGACGCTGGCGCTGGTGCCTAGGCCATCTTTTTCGTTCCGGATCTCCCCATAGATGTCGCCATATGGGGGAGGCGGAACTTCTTCATCGGTCGCATCTGGAGTGACGAGGTCGGTCGTTTGCAAGGGAGCGTCATGTCTCGTTGATCCTGCGGTTTCAGTCTGGACGGTAGAAGCAGCTGCTTGTGCTTGTTGAAGCATTGCATGCTGCGTATCGGTCGGCGGAACAAGATGTTCATCTTCTAAATGAGATTTCGTGGCCATGGCATCAAGCTGAGAAAGCAGTGTGCACAGTTCTGGCCGTCCCTGGTAGGTACGGCATCAGTAAGTACTTCATCGTCGAAGAGCGCCTTACGCCCTGGTGGAGGCATCGCATGAGTGCATTCGTGTATACCAGCCGTCAACGATGCTAAAGTCATATTAGTGGTAAGCTTTGCGCATGCGAAGGATGCGCATGCGTTCGCGAGAGGCTGAGGCAGGACCAATTAGGCAGACCTTGCGAGCTGAACACGGGAAGTTGGACCCCGTAATTACGTCATCATCAACAGCCTCAAGGGGCACGTACGCACGCATCACCCAACTGCTGAACTCATGTGATGATTGAATATTCATTAGGAGAAGCATGCGAGTTCCAAATCTCCGGCTTGAGTGTATACCAAATATTAATGTCCAACATCAAAACAAACGTTGCACCAGACCGAAAAACAAGCTTGTCATAGCCAGTGTGCACAGCGCATCCCAAACACCATGAACGCTCGCAATCGCACCACCAGTGAAATCTGCTAGTGCACCTGTGGTAGTACTCGTCGGCTGTCCAAACCCGCTGCTACCGCTGTTGATAGAGTTGCCGTCGTTGCCATCCGCGGTAACAGATGCGGTGATGGAGATCGACCCCTCGACTACAACCACGGGTGTTTCTTCAGGAGTGAGTGAAACCTCGATGCCATTGATAGTCGTCATGGCGCCAGGCATCAAGGTTTGACTGTTCGGCAGCAGTAAGCCTCCTCCATCAGTTGCGGGAAGGAAAGAGAACCCAGATGGAAGAGCACCTGGAGCAATCGTTGTGCCCCCGAGGACCACGCTGCTTGATGTTGCGTCGATTGCTATCGTTGTGGTACCAGCAATTAAAGCGGAAGAATCGCGTGAGATGGTCATAGTGCCGATGACGGTCACTTCACCCGGCTCCAGTTCCGACGCAAGCTCGCTGACATTGACGGTCGTTCCATCCATGACCACTGTAGATGGACCGGGTGTCTGAGTAGTATCCAGTAGCGGAATGGTTTGGGTGCCACCAATGACCACAAAAGAACCTGAACCGCCTCTTGAGATGGGGATGTTATTGATGGTGGTTACTTCACCAGGCTCGAGTTCAGAAGCAAGCTCGCTGATGTTGATAGTCGTCCCGCCTATGATCACTGCAGACGGGCCAGACTCTTGGGTAGATTCCGGTAGCGGAATTGTCTGGGTGCCGCCCAAGACCACGAACGAAGCCGACGTATCTCGGGAAATGGGAAGGTTGTTTATAGTGGTCACTTCGCCTGGGCGGAGTCGCGTAGCGACCTCACCAATGTTGAAGGTCGTTCCACCGATCACCACAGGTGCTGGTCGAGTTCCCGGAGTCGGTGGACGAAGCCCGAAAGTCGCTGTACCACCTATAACAACGAACGAAGCGGAGGTGTCGAGCGAGAGTGCAACATCGTTGATGGTGGTTTGCTGTCCAGGAACGATCATACTTGCAGCACCGCTTATCATGATACCCGAGTGAGACGGCTCAACTACAATAGCACCAAGGCCTGGTAGAAACATGGTCTGCAGTTCGCCCGGATTGAGAACCGTCGTGGTAACTGGAGGATTCACGGGTAACGCAGGTATGCCACCTGGAGGTCGCATAGGTTCTCCTGGTATTAGCCGCACCGGACCACCAGACGTCGCTATCGGATAACCCGGAGGCGTACCCTGAGGTAATGCAGGAGCAGTGGGGTTTCCAGGGGGATCTTTCGTTTTGCTCGGCTGATCGGTTGGTGTAGCAGGGACATTTTCCAAAGGTTTGGGCTTGGTGGATAGAGGCTGGACATTCAGCAGAGCGTTGCTAGGTATACTTCTTGCTGCTTAGCTACAGACATCACCAATAGGATTTGCTACTTACGTGGGATCTGCTAAGATCGGCTGGAAAGTAGCTGGGATGAGATAATCGTAGTCGAATAGCGTTGAAACAGTGATCGCGGTCGTGGTCATGGTGATCGTCGGGATGCTGGCATCAGGATCAACCGGCGTATATATGCCGATGTAAGTCATCGTTTGTATCGAAGTCAGGCAAGATGCCTGCGACTCGGTTGTGGTCGGCATGCCAACCATAGAGCTGTTAGACAGACTGGGGGTCCTATGTCACGTTAGCAGATTGCTGGTTTAAATAGCTAGGAAAAGCAAACCTAAGAGACATCGCAGCAGTCATTTGCGCCCGTTCCTCAAGACTCACACCAACTGCATGTTTTATGTTTTCGTATCGGGTCAATGTTGTTCCATTGCTAAATGGGGTGATATAGACAAAAAGAGTAGATGTTGAAGTCACTACAGATGTTTCTAAACCTGGATTCCGGGTACTGGTGACGTACACGGTGTTGTACACGGTACATTCTGGAGTTGGCGTCGAAGAGGGGGCAACAGTCGCTGAGACTCCAGGACCTATAATTTGTCAGTCTAATCGAGCCTACAGGGTAACTTATGGACCAGGTAAATACCTAAAAAGAACAGAGCGATAAACGTGAGCACTCTCAACCGGCATTGTGAGTACATGTTGGTTATGGATAACCAGACGGTCAAAGGCGCAAGGTCCTAGTGACTATGTTCATCGGCGTCGATGGCAATATCCACCTAGGCAATATGGGGGTAGGTAATGGGAGGCAGCAGGATAGATGCGATGCTTTCCATGCTACTGTCTTGAAGATGAATGTGCTATGCGATGTTGCTCAGCCTTCTAGTTGCGCCAACCATAGTCTCGGCATCCGGATCGTGGTTGGTCAGAGTGTGCTGCATTGTCTTGATCTGGAAACATACAATAAACTTTGATTGCTTATGCAGGACAAATATTGGGGAGTTATACATAGCCTACCAATAACCAGATGATATCCTTGATTGCAGGGAAGAACACAGTCAGCAAGTTGGAAGTCTAGTTGCAGTCCAGTACAGGCTCGCTCGTACAGGTAGAGTACTTTGTTCCTGCCTTACCCTCAGTTCTGAACATATGCGAAATAGCGTTGTTGATCTCAGCCTAGACGTTCTCGCAATATGACAGGAGCGCTCTCACTTACAGCATCGGGAGGCTGGTTTGGTAATGACGGAAGCTGGTCGACGTATGCCTCTTACAGGTTGCGAAAGTGTGTCCATGCTTGTGCTGACAACCATAGTTTCCTCGTTCAGGCAGGAACACCACCACAAACGTTCAACGTGTTGCCTGCGACACAAGCTACAAACATTTGGCTTCCTGTCTCTGATGAGTGTATGAGGCTACAGAATGGGTCGGCTTCGTGTGGCAGCTCTCGCGGTGTGACTCCTTTCCAACAACGTCCGAGTCCTGGGTTTCAAGCGAACATGTCGTCAACGTGGGAAGCTATCGGTCTCTATGAACTCGGAATGGGGAGAAATTATGATATTACCGGGAATGGGATCCTTGGGTTCGAGAGTGTTGGACTGGATAACTTCACATTGGAAGGTCTGGCGGTCACCGCATATGCCTCGCCTGGCTTCTGGGTTGGGCAGCTAGGTCTGTCGCTGTTGCCACTAAACTTTTCAGAGACTACCAGCTCGCCGTCGTTGATCTCAGCTCTCAAAGATGAGGGTCACATACCCAGTCTAGTGTATGGATATCAAGCTGGTGCCTCGTATCGCAAAACAAGAGTACCTGCCAGTCTCGTTCTTGGAGGATACGACCTTTCACGTTCTTCAGACCCCTTGACGGTCGATATAAGTGCCGATATGTCCAGGGCTCTTACGGTCGGACTCCAAGATATCATAGTGACCGACTCACTGAATGGGACGCTGTCGCTGGTTGATAATGAGCGGATAATCGCTCCGATCGATTCGTCCGTTACAGAAATATGGCTTCCCGAATCTGTTTGCGATCGCTTTGAGTCTGCATTTGGCCTGGAGTATCATGAGAAATCTGGGAGATATGTCCTCACAGATTCGGCTCGGGATCGACTTCGGGAACTCGATCCCACCTTGACGTTCACCATCGGTACCAATGCGGTGACGGGTGGCAACACTACCACGGTCCAACTTCCATATGCGGCCTTCGATTTGCAGGCAGGGTATCCAATCTTTGCAAACACGACGAACTATTTCCCGATTCGAAGAGCCGATAACGAAAGCCAATACGCCATCGGCAGAGCGTTCCTACAAGAAGCCTATCTCGGCGTTGATTTCGAGGCTGGTACATTCAACGTCAGCGCAGCGAACTGGGATGAACTCAAACCTGAGATTGTAACAATCCCAGGTAAAGATAGCGATACCGGGGAAGCCAAGGAGCCAGGCCTGTCGGGCGGTGCGATAGCTGGGATCGTCGTTGGCTGCGTAGTAGCGATTTTGATGTGCTTCTTGTGTACATGGTCTCTGGTCCTGAAATCCAGGCGGACGCGGGAGCAAGATACAGCGCTGGTAGACGATAAGGGAGCGCACGACGCGCTGCATTCAGCTACACAGCTGGCAGGCGTGGCTGTTCACGAGCTCCATGCTAAGCACGGCGATAGCGAAATATGGCAGGCAGAAATGATACCCGAACTGGGCGGTCAGGAGTGTGCGCACGAATTGCATCCGGACTGCGTTCGATGAAGGAGGACTGGTGTTGGATTGCGCCTGCCGAAGGAGAGACGCACCGATGACTAAGCACGCTAGCGTGTTAGCGTCCAATTTCGGGAAGCTGTCGCGCTCCTGGTCCGCTGCGCCGGACTTACACCACCTTTCTTTCAACATGTCATTTCTCAAACAACTTTGAAGAAAACAACTTCTTCTTCTTTACCCTACAGGTCCTGAGCAAGCGGCATAATTCTCAACCTTGTACTGCACCATGTCATCTCCTTTTACACAGTAGTCCACCGGGAAAGGAGTATATACCTTCTTTTCTCTGCGCCTTTGACATACATACAGCAATTAGTTGACCTATTGAAGCAATTATAGTTCCTGTGCGTTACATTCATACCACCTGA